GCAATGCAGAGGAAACACAGAAGCTGCATTAGAAGTGTCATTTAGATGCATTTACAGACTGCTTAATGCAGCTCTGAGGGACATGGAATACTTTAAAAGGGTCATATGATGTTGCTAAAAAGAACATTATTTTGTGTATTTGGTGTAATTAAATGTGTTTATGCGGTTTAAGGTTCAAAAAACACATTATTTTCCACATACTGTACATCAGAAAACCTGTATTTAAAAAAAAAAAATATTTAATTGTATTTTTTATTTAATTTTATTATTTAATTTAATATAATTTTTATTTTGTTTTGTGTTTTATTTCATTTAAATGTATGATTATTTTATACATAGTTTATTTTATAACCACTACTGAAGGACCACTCCACTACACAAATATTTTTATGATTTTTAAATGTATAAAATATTAATTGTAAACCAAAACGTTAAACAAAATATTATTATATATCTAATATTATAATATTAGGCTACAGACATTATTACTACCATAAGTTATTTAAACACATATTTAAAATAGATGTGTAAAAAGACTGTAAAATAAGATGCTTGAAACAGATGCAAAGGGCAAACCGAAAACTCCCACAGGACACAAGGGAATCCTGGCAAACACACCGAGCTCCCTTTGTTTGTGTGTGTGACACACCAGTCACAGAGATTCACATATAAAGATGATAAACTGGAAAACACTGTAAACGAGAATGCTGATTTATAATCAGTGGCATTTCAAATAATCCTTAAAAATAGGGGTCGACCGATTATCGGATATTAAGCATTTTTATGATTATCGGTATCGGTCATTTTCAAAACAATTCGCCGATAAAATAACTTCATTTTGAAATGCGCTATTTGGCTCTGATGCAGCCTGTTAGAACTCACCACTCTGTGGCCTAAAGCAGTCTCCGCCCACCACCCATCTGATTTGTTGGGAGTCACCAATCAAAGCGGAATTCACTCTCAGTCCGAAAGCGCTTGCTAACTGCAGCTGCTTCAGTGATCACGCATTAGTTGTCTCTCAAAGGTAAGGCAGCAGCAGACGTTGCTTAATTTGCAATAAATCACAATCCACTAACGTTACACTGAAGTTGCAAAACACCTCAATATTATCTATGATTTCCGCGATGCAGAAAATGTGGACGGAATCGCGGAATCAAGTCATATAAATGGGATTTACTGTATGACGCGGAATGTCATGCAATTTGTCAAAGTTTGGATGAATTAATCAAAAGTAAATCAGTACACCTAAATAGAGTCATGATATGGACTAGTATCTGTAAATATTAAGCCGCAAAAATACTATTTAAATATGAATCCTGCATGTTTTGCGTGTCTCTGTGTATGTAAATGGCACAGACGCGCGGTTTTGTTTTCTACACATACAAAGTGTGCGACGCTCGCGGTGATTTCAGCTTCTGTCATATCACTACATGAGGACATAAATACATGAACAACATCTCCAGAACTGCTCTGACTCCCTCTAAGAGTCACTTCATGATCATTTGACAGTTTCATTTGAGTAAAACT